TGTAAATGAACATGACATAAAAAGTTTGTAGGTGAAAACTGTATCGTGTAAACACTCCCTAAGTTCAACTAAAAAAGTATGTCTAAAATTAAAAGTAAAATCAAAAAGCATGTTTTCGGTGTACTGACAAACTCATAATATAAAGAAAAAACAGGAGGCTTTAATTTTGACTGAAACGTTTGTATTCTGTATGATGATTAAATTTTTTTTATTTTTTACAATTTATTGTAATAAGGGCAATGTTTGATGGTAACAGGGTTTAGATAATCTGGGGACAAAATGTCAAGCATTTTTAATAAAATATTATGTTCCCTGAAATCTCTCTCTCTCTCTCTCTCTCTCTCTCTCGCTATATATATATATATATATATTAGTGCTGTCAAACGATTAATCGCGATTAGTCGCATCCAAAATAAAAGTTTTTGTTTACATAATATATGTATGTGTGCTGTGTATATTTATTATGTATATATAAATACACACACATGCATGTATATATTTCAGAAAAATATGTTTATTATGTTTATTTATTTATAATACAAATTATATGAATATAAATATAGACATGGAAATACATGTAAATATTTTCAAAATATATACTGTATGTGTTTGTATTTATATATACATAATAAATATACACAGGAAACACACATATATTATGCAAACAAAAACTTTTATTTTGGATGCGATTAATCGCAATTGATCGTTTGACAGCACTAATATATATATATATATATATATACACTGTATATCACAGTTCAGACTCCAAATTCTGATTGAATAAATAAGTTGCTTACACTCTTAAAAATAACAGTTCTTGCATCAATGGTTGCATGAAAAGCCTTTAACATCCATGGAATCTTTGCATTCCACAAATGTGCTTTGTAGTGGGGGGAAAAAAAGTTCTTTAAATTATTTAATTGTTCTTCGCACAAAAAAACATGCTTATTTTGAGTACTGTTCACTGAAAGGTTCTTTGGGGAACCAAAAATGGTTCCTCTATCTATGGGATCGAAAAACCCCCCATTTTGAAGTGCGTGGCAACCACAAACTGCCTGAAGTTACTGATCTATATTACTTGGAAGAATAATTATTTATTCAGATTATCATTATTAATAAATGTGGCTTTACCCGCACAGTGGTCAAAACATCATGGTTAAATGGTGCAGGATACTTGTCAAAAGTGTTGTAGTTATTGTCTGTTCTGAATGGTGTCAAAGATCAGTGTCTAAACTGGCTTACTGATCATAAAGAGGGCACCGGACTGGAAGCACATTCTCTCTCTCTCTTTAACCCCACAGTCTGACCTCTCCAGACTGTTTCCATTCAGTTCTGTTCATGACTTAATTCATCCTCTGTCTCGTTTCATGTGTCCATCAGCACTGCTGCTCACTACACTGTTTAAAGGCTGTCTTTGTGTGCTGACTGTGTGCCTGTCTCTTTAAATATCAATGGAGAACTCATATAGAGGAAATACTATATGTTACTTCATTCATGTTGATCACACTTATTTTTAGCAGATTATGTCATTTCTACTGAGCTTCAGATTAAAATGATAACAAAAATAAACAGAGAGACCAGATGACCAAGATAGATGAAGATGTTTAAAGATGCACAGGGAGCTTTGACTCATCAGAGTGAAGCTCTGCTCAGGCATGTTTCTACATTTTATCAAAGGAACATAACTGAGACTGTTATATATATTAAGCTGAAGTATATTAAGAACTTTTTTGTGTGCACTCACATAATTCAAAGTGTAATGAATCATTCAATTGAAACTTGTCTTTAAAAAGTTTTAAAAGTTTAAACCCATATGAAACCAGCATGAATACAAATCTTATATTTTTAGAACATGACACATTTTTTAAATAGATTTTTAAAAGGTTGTTCCTTTATACTCATGTCATTTGACCCATAAAGCTCTTAATCTCTGTGAGTAAATATTGTTTACTATCTCCAAGAATGACTACATCAAAGTTTTCCTGCACTCGATTGCTCCATCTCTCATAGGTTCACATTCATGCTGTAGCTTGTCTGCATATAAAAAAAAACACACACACAGAGGATATAATGTAGCTTATCAGACAAGATATTGTTCTGCTTCCTTATTCTTGTTTTTCTGTTAGTGTTGTTAGTGTAATATGTGTATGTTATATATAAGACAAAAGACTGATATTTGCATGTCTCTACAGGTTTCAGCATTGATAAAGCTCAAGGTTTTAATGTGGGGACTTCTGGAGCTAAGATCTTCTCACAGTTGGCAGCAGAACAGTTTGGTTACTCTGTTCAACAGTTCAGCAACAGTCAAGGAAAATGGTAAGACATAAAATATAATTGAAATTGTATGTTCATTTAATTTGTTTTCATACTTAAACTACCATTTTTGTCTCTTATATTCAGCAAAGCTGCATTTATTTAATCAAAAATACAGTTAAATAGTAATATTATGAAATATTATTACAATTTAAAATAAATGTTTTCTATTTGAATATACTGTAACATGTAATTTATTCCTGCTATTCATTTGAACCTTCTAGTCATCAAAAAATCCTACAAAATATTAATATTATTAATTAAATAGTCATTTATCTTATTAATAAAAAATACATTTTCAACATTAATAATAAAAAGAACCATTATTTTAATTTGCACACTGATAATAATTGATAACATATGTTTGTTTGTTTATTTATTTCAGAATTTCAGAATTGTGGCAGTGTTGTTTGGAATTTTTGTTGGATTTAGTTTTTAAGCTCTTAATCTCTGTGAGTAAATATTGTTTACTATCTCCAAGAATGACTACATCAAAGTTTTCCTGCACTCGATTGCTCCATCTCTCATAGGTTCACATTCATGCTGTAGCTTGTCTGCATATAAAAAAAAACACACACAGAGGATATAATGTAGCTTATCAGACAAGATATTGTTCTGCTTCCTTATTCTTGTTTTTCTGTTAGTGTTGTTAGTGTAATATGTGTATGTTATATATAAGACAAAAGACTGATATTTGCATGTCTCTACAGGTTTCAGCATTGATAAAGCTCAAGGTTTTAATGTGGGGACTTCTGGAGCTAAGATCTTCTCACAGTTGGCAGCAGAACAGTTTGGTTACTCTGTTCAACAGTTCAGCAACAGTCAAGGAAAATGGTAAGACATAAAATATAATTGAAATTGTATGTTCATTTAATTTGTTTTCATACTTAAACTACCATTTTTGTCTCTTATATTCAGCAAAGCTGCATTTATTTAATCAAAAATACAGTTAAATAGTAATATTATGAAATATTATTACAATTTAAAATAAATGTTTTCTATTTGAATATACTGTAACATGTAATTTATTCCTGCTATTCATTTGAACCTTCTAGTCATCAAAAAATCCTACAAAATATTAATATTATTAATTAAATAGTCATTTATCTTATTAATAAAAAATACATTTTCAACATTAATAATAAAAAGAACCATTATTTTAATTTGCACACTGATAATAATTGATAACATATGTTTGTTTGTTTTTTTATTTCAGAATTTCAGAATTGTGGCAGTGTTGTTTGGAATTTTTGTTGGATTTAGTTTATTTGGAATAATAAGAAACTCAAGTAGCAACACTGTATTATATAGTTCTAATTCAATTTGCGCAAAATTACATTATGCCAGTCAAGCAAAACATATAATATAACTAGAAAAACCAGGATACATGCCTTTTCCCCAAGTGTTTATTTGATTTTGAATGGGTCACATGACCTGAGCAGCAGGCCTGTGACATGCTGCCCTGTGTATGTACAGTACGTAGAGCAGCGCACACACTCTGATAGCTGTTTTCCCCCACAGTATCACTTCTCTCAATACACTCTATACAGCACACACACTTCCTGTGGCCGTTATATTGCTCCGTATCCGGGAGATCACAAAGAAGCCAAGTTCCTCTAGCATCTATCTGCAGGAAAATGAATGTCTTCCTCTTATTCCCACATAACAGCTACGGTAATACATGTTCCCAAAGCCAGCAATAAGTCACACATTGTACTGTACGTAGGTACAATATACAACATTTCCTCTAAAGCACAAAGACATTTTTAATCAACACTGGGCACAACTTTCCTAACATCTGCTAACTCCATAATTGCTGCACAGAAGGGTCACAGACTGGGTCACTTCATATTATTTGTTGTGCCCCTAAAGTGTTATTGTTCTCTTATGGTCATCCTCACTGTCTAGACAGTCTTTAAATGCATGTATTTCTTAAGAACCTCGCTGTTGTGCAGCAAGCCAGATGAGGTATTTCCTGACCTGCTCTGGCGTGGGCTGCTTTGGGGGGTGTTGGTGACATCATTCTCACTGTGAGTCCAGCATTAGCTCTGTCTGACCTCCCACATTAGAGACCCCTAACAACCATTTCTGTAGACAATGTGTCATTATTACTCACAGTCCTTTTCATCAGAATGCCTTGCATCTATGTACTCACATGTACTTATGTATGTCATGTTTTCGAAAATCCCCTGAACTTTTCCTACACAGAATCTCATTACTTTTTTACTCATTAAAAGCACAAATACTATGATTTTTGTTGTTGTGAGAACTATATGAAAGACTATTAATTAAAACTAACCTAACATGATGAGTAGATAGTTAAAGGGATAGTTCTGCCAAAAATGGATATTGTTGCTTCTAATGAACTGAAATATCATAATTATCGTTTATCTTTACATGAACACTGCAATATATCACCAAAGGGTGTCAAATTAGATTAAATCACTGACAAAATTTAAAATGCTAATTGGTATGCTTTAACCGACTTCAAAAATGATCAGAACATCCTTAAATCTAGTTTTGAAAAGATAAAACAAGATAATTCCTTAAAACATGATACAACTGCAAAATGTTAAGATGATGTATGTGGAATGTACTGTAGGTATATTTTGTTGTTCACTTGTTTTTCATATTTTGAAAAAATATGGTAATAGAACAAGAACAATATACTTTGTATTCAATATATGATGTGTGAGAGCAAGTCTTAAGTGGATGCTTAGACATTGTAATGGGAAACAAAATATGTATAAATAATTTTTTCCCCCTAGTTTGACTATTTCCTGTCTTGTGTTCAGGATACTCTGTGGCGTCTGTGACCGACGGCTCTTCTGAGTTTTATGTGGCTGGTGCTCCTCGTGCCGTTCACAGAGGACAGGTTGTAGTTTACAGCATGAACAGCCAGAATCAGCCGGTCATCATAGATTCACAGAGAGGAGATCAGGTACTCTCTGTCTGTGAACTTTAATGAGATTTAGCTTCGTTACACACTGAAGTCCTGTCTTAGATCATTGTGGTGTGCGGTTTGCAGATCGGCTCTTATTTTGGCAGCGTTCTCTGTCCTGTTGATGTGGACACTGACGGTGTGACGGATCTGCTGCTGGTCGGAGCTCCGATGTACATGAGCGAGGAGAAATCTGAAACAGGAAGAGTCTACATCTTCACCATTACCAAGGTGCTTTTCTTATTTTTTTTCCATTTATTTTCTGTGGATGCCCTCCTCTTCCTCCTGTAGTTGGATCATTCCTGGGATTCGGTAAGATTTCACCTCGGAATATACATGTTTTTCAACTATGTGATTCAACTTCTAAATACCCCACATCATTAGGCGCATATCAAACCTCCAAAAAAATTATATTTTCCCACCTCAGGCATTAAAGACCTTTTATTATTTTTTTACCTTTTATTTTTATTCTTTACCTTTTATTACTGAAGCTAAAAATATACAAATGGTGTGTCTACGGTCTCTTTATTTTTGTAAAAATATTTTTAATTTAAAATTTTAACTAAAACCACAATTTTATTGTTTTAGCCCTTAACATGTCAGATAGTAACCAGCAATAAATGCTTTTGTTCTTAATTGTCTTCCCTATATTTTTCAAAAAATATTAATGTGGCAAGGTGTGACAGGGTTGAAGACTGTAACACATTTGAAAGGATACATTGCCTTAAATTTAAATGTTAGTTTTTTTCTCTCTCTCATATTGGCCCCTTGTTTCTGGGTCAACATATCTGCATGGCCAGCATTGTCTTTCTGCTGCAAATGTGGGTGCAATTTCTGATGTATGATGCTTGTCAAAGTTTAAGTGGACATATTACATCAAAAATTCTATTTAAAACAAAAATATGAGTTGTCATGATTTTGGAGTATATATATTTACTGAAACCATGACTATTTTATATTTTGTCATTAAAATTATTGATAAATGAAGTAAATAACTCAACCCTGTCACAAGTTTACAACCCCGTAACA